TTCTGGCAGCCGGGAGCAGCCCTGCAACACACAGCTATGGGTGCTAGCAGGCGCGGGAAGCAGCGGGGGGAGGCTGGTGCTTCAACACTACAGTAATTATTAAAATGCAGCTGTGCTATTGCAATAAAGAGGTCTGTGCCACAGCACACAGCAGCCCACTGGCAACCTCAGCAGAGAGCCTAATGCAAGTTAATCTAAGTGATGTGGACTGACAAACCCTTCCTGTTCCTTTCTGGCTGCTCTTCTGCAAGGAAATTAAATAGGTTTGCTTATCAGGAGGAGACTGAAGGCATTTAAAAAATGGGTAAATATCTCAGTTAAATTTAAAAATAGCTTGTGAGAAATTAGAGATTTTTAAGGAATAAAGGTAACTTTTTCAGTGTGTTATGTTTCTTGCATTTCAGAAGTGGTTTTGGTGTTGGCTTGCTTTTATTTATAGCTGTTGACTGCATTAAATCTTTCTGGCTACTGCTTTTGCAAGCAGGGCAGGGGCCATGTTGCACTAGCCAACCGCTCCCTGAGCAGGACGAGAAGCCCAAAACCCTTGCAGCAGAAGCCCAGAGCCTCCTGCGGCCCTGCTCCCGAGGCAAGGGGGGAGCCTCCCAGCCCTTCAGCAGGGAGAAAGGACGTGAGACCAAAACGCTTCTCTTCCTCTTTCCTGCTTGTTGGCAGCACTTAGTCCTCCATGCTGGTTGGAGTAGTGCTCCTGCGGAATCAATGGGAGCAAGAGTACGATCGGTATTGTGACTTGAGGGAGGGAAAATTGCTGTGACAGTCCAGCAAAAGAAGAAAGGCTCCAGCTTTGCAGCTCCGACCCTGATGTGAACTACCCTGTCAACCACCCCTGTTCCATCCGAGAGGATTTATTGTCTTGGCTTTAACATCAACAGCACTAATTGCTGGACTCTGAAGCAGATTTTTGTACTTATTTTGCATAAAAGCTCTTAACATTTCTTTAAATCTTGTTGCACGCAGAGGAAAAACCTTCTGGGAAAATCGAGGGCGCTTTCCTACCTCTGTTTTTGGGGTGCCAAGGGCAATGGGGCGTGCTAGGGCAGGTGTTCTGTGTTTGGGGACGCTGGGGAGGTCTGGCTGCTGGAAGCAGGCAGGGACGAGGATTGTGCATCAGCCGGCTGGGTGGCCTTCGGTGAGGGACCAGCAGCCTCTCAGGCAATTTTAATCGCAGAGCGGGCTGAGAGCAGGGCTGGTATGAGCCTGGTGGTGGGTGGCATCCAGGGAGCTAGGGCGTTTGAAGATAACATGGATGTATGAAGTTAACTGTCCTAGGACACCAGCACGATGCCTCTGAGCTCTCTGTCAGCAAGGCTAAAAATGGCATGATGGCACAATGTGGACCAATACCTAAAATTCATCCTTTTTTTTCCTCTCCCATTTGCTTTCTGAGTCATCTTCCCCTGCAGACTTTGCAGCTAATAAAAAGTCTCAGATGTTGATTAGGCAAAGTACCACGTGGGGAGAGATGTGGTGCCTCTGGAAGCTCAGCTCAGAGCGTAACGTTAGCAAGTGTTGGAACAAATGTGAATCCTCCTGGGGGCACCTGACCCTTTTTGCTCTGCGAAGCTGGCGTTTTACCCAGCCGGCTCGCTTTGCCACGAGCTCCCCTGGGCAGGGCAGGCTGGTGGCCACCGCACCGTTGGCATGTTCCCCCAAGGGAGTAACTCCAAACTGAATTTACCACCTGGTGGGGAAAACGCTGGCTTAAACGCCGCGTATTTTCAGAAGTTGAAGGTTAGCATGGTGTGTCATTTTTTGGTTTATGGGTATTTTTCTTTCTCTTCCACTATCTCTGTCTTACCACTGTGGTGCTGGGGAGAAGCAGCTGGAAACGAAACAAAGGGGATGCCCAAATTCCTCTCCAGACAACCGCCACCTTCAAAGCAGGCGCGAATTCATGTGGAGCTGAGAAAGGGGCTGTGGGGAGCATGGCAGAGCGCACCGAGCTGCGCGCTGTGCCCCCACTCCATGTTGATGGATGCACTTGTTAAAAATCTTGAAATGTACGACAAGCCCCCATGTTCCCCCCGTCCCCATCACATCATGGCTTTAACCCCTACAGGTACACCATCTTCCAACCCCCCAGAAACGCCTGCTCAGGTCCCACGCTCCTGGAGTGCAGCATGGGGGCTGGAGGACTTCTCCTATGAGGACAGGCTGAGGGGGTTGGGGCTGCTCAGCCTGAAGAAGGCTCCGGGGTGACCTTAGAGCAGCTGCCAGTGCCTGAAGGGGCCGACAGGAAGGATGGAGAGGGGCTTTTCACAAGGGTGTGCAGTGATACGACAAGGGGGAACGGCTCTAAACTAAAAGAGGGCAGATGTAGATTAGATGTTAGGAAGAAATCCTTCCCCATGAGGGTGGTGAGGCCCTGGCCCAGGTTGCCCAGAGAAGCTGTGGCTGCCCCCTCCCTGGCAGTGCTCAAGGCCAGGTTGGATGGAGCTCTGAGCA